TCATCCACATAAAGACAAACAATGACATATCCTTGGTCAGTGTTTTTAACATAGATGCACTGGTCACATTCGTTTATCTTAAACCCATTAGTAAGCATAGCATGATCAAATTTTTCATGCCATTGCTTAGGTGCTTGCTTTAATCCATAAAGTGAATTTACATGCCGACAAACTTTCTTTTCTTGGCCCGGTACTACAAACCCTTCGGGTTGCTCCATATAGATCTCATCATTTAGATCACCGTTTAAGAAAGCTGTTTTAACATCCATTTGATATATTTCTAAATTAAACAATGCTGTTATAGCAATAAGCATGCGAATGGATGCTATTTTTGTCATAGGGGAATATGTGTCAAAATAGTCCAGACCTTCATTTTGTCTGTAACCTTTAACTACAAGTCTTGCTTTATACTTGTCAATTGAACCATCTGCTTTCATTTTTCTCTTGAATATCCATTTATATCCAAGAGGTTTAGAACCAAGTGGAAGATCTACCAATTCCCAAGTATAATTTTGCATAATGGATTCAATTTCATTATTCACGGCCTCTTTCCACAAAGGTGCTTCAAGACCTGTCATTACTTCCTTAAAGCTTTGATGTTCATTTTCTAACAAGTACATCAAAAAATCTGGACCAAAGGATTTTGATCTTCTCGTTTTCTTACTATGTCTTGGTTCATCATCAGTTAAATCCTGTTGGTCGAGACCATTACTAGTCTCTTGTGTTTGATTGTTATTAGTCTATTGACTTTGTGTACAATCATAAGTTCTTTTTTGTGAACTTAATTCCTGTCATTTCTTGTAAGGAAAGACATGTTAAAAAAACACAGCATTCTTTGACTCTATAATAGTGTTCACATTTATATTAGGTATTTCTGATTTATAAGTCAGAAATCGATATGCACTATTATTCTGAGCATAACCAATAAACACACAATCTACTGTTTTTGGTCCAATCTTAGTCTTTTTAGGAACATGAACTTCAACTTTTGCCAAACACCCCCACACTTTTAAGTATTTGTAAGAAGGTGGTCGACCTTTCCACAATTCATAAGAAGTGCTGTTGGTTTTCTTGTGGGGTATTTTGTTAAGAACATAATTAGCAGACAAAATTGCTTCCCCCCACAAGTTCTGTGGTAAGCTTGAACTTAATAACATGGCATTCATCATTTCTTTCAGGGATCTATTTTTCCTTTCAGCAATTCCATTTTGCTGAGGAGAATAGGGTGCTGTAGTTTGGTGAATAATGCCATGTTGTGCATAAAATTCATTTAATGGTGCATCATATTCACCACACCTATCACTTCTAACCATTTTAATGGTTTTACCACGTTGATTTTCAACTTCTGTTTTGTAGATTTTAAACATTTCTAAGGCTTCATTTTTACTTCTAAGTAAATAAACATAACAATATCTTGTGCAATCATCGATAAATGTTATGAAATACTTTTTGCCTTCTCTAGTTTGAACAAATTTAAGATCACATACATCTGTATGAATTAATTCTAGAGGTTCGGTTTTCCTTTCAACCGATTTAAATGGAGCCTTAGTTAATTTCGTTTCTACACAAATTTCATATTTATGATTAGGATCAATTTCAAACCTTGGTATATAATCTAAACCAATTAATCTACGCAAAGCATCAAAATTCACATGTCCTAATCTACCATGCCATAAATTCGACTCAAGAATATAAGTAAAAGATGTGTTATTCTTATTCATAGCAATTTTTAGTACAGCTGTCATTACATTTAATTTAAAGAGACCATCACTCATGTATCCCTTACCAATATACATACCACTCTTTGTTAATACAAATTTATCAGACTAAAAAACAAGCTTAAAACCATTTTCACTTAACAAAGAGTCAGAAACCAAATTCTTCTGGATGTCAGGTACATGCAGTACGTTGTTGAGGGTCAGTTCTTTCCGTGATGTCATCTTCAAGAGCACTTTTCCTTGTCCAGCCGCAGTAGAAGTAGAAGAATTTCCCATGAAAAGTTGTTCACCATTTGCAGCCTCATTGTAGGTAGTGAACATCTTCTTGTCCGCACATATGTGACAAGTTGCTCCTATGTCAACCCACCACTCCTTGGGATTTCCAATCAAATTAGCCTCAGACACCACAGTAGAGAGGTTGATGTCATTCACCCCGTCAGAGATGTAATCTAGTTCAGTTACATTGGCCTGATTGATAGTCTTCTTGCTTGTACTTCCGCGATCCTTCTTAGGGTGGCGGCAATCAGAAGCTCAATGTCCAGTTTTGCCACAATTATATTATTTTCCTTTGAACTTCTTGTTGCCATTGTTGTTGCCTTGTTTAGGACTATCTCCAGTAAACTTCCTCTTTTTGTTATGTGGTTTGTGAACTTGTTCAACCACATTAGCCTTGGACTCAATGGGATTTTCCCCATTTCTCTTTTCAGCCTTTCGGTTATCTTTCTCAATTCTCAATCTTACAATCAATTCATCCATGGTCATCTCTTTGCGTTTATGTTTTAAATAATTTTTGAAATCTTTCCAAGCCGGTGGTAACTTTTCCACTAGAGCAGCGACTTGGAAAGACTCGCTAAGAGACATACTTTCTGAATGAATATCATGCAAAATTATTTGAAAATTTTGAACTTGAGAAATTGCTGTTTGGGAGTCTACCATAACAAAGTCCAGAAATTTACCGACAACAAATTTCTTCGTGCCGGCGTCCTCTGTCTTGTATTTCTTCTCCAAATAATCCCACAATTCTTTTGCTGACTTCAGAGGGCTGTAAACATTATACAACATGTTGTCAAGGCTATTAAGGATGTAGTTTCTGCATAAGAAATCTGAATGTTTCTAAGCATCTACAGCGGTAACAACTTGCTGATCACTTTCACCCTCTTTAAGTGTTGGAGCCTCTTCATGGAGAAACCGGGCCAAATTTAGAGTTGTAAGATAGAACAACATCTTCTGCTGCCATCTCTTAAACTCAGTACCGTTAAATTTTTCTAGTTTTTCTCCATGATTTATTGGTACTTGAACATGGTTCTGGATAGGGACCGGTTTGGTGTAACAATTGGAGTACCATTTCCAGTTGTAGTTTCAGTTGCAGTAGCCATAATATCTGATTGCCATAATATCTGATTACAAAAAATCAGAAAAACAAACCACAAATTAATTTTCTAGTTACTAAAACCAGAAAAAAAATTATAACACAAAATAATTTTATTTTCCTTGTTACTAAAACCAGAAAAATAAAATACCACAATAATTTTCTATAACACCAAATAATATTTTGCAATTGTTAATGACACCAGTATATTACTACTAGTTGTCAAAGAAAATAGACAGTATATTACTATTATCTGTCAAATAGTTTATAAATACTATTTGTATTTTCCAACCAGAATATCACTTTGTGAAAATATAGAAAATTAAATACAATAAAGATACAAAAAAGAATTCTGTCTTAAGATTGTTGGACAATTTTCACTGTATTTGAAAAATAAATTTTGTTGTGTACTTAACAACAAACAGAATTAATAAGAAATAAAGAAAATGAGAGAATTTGCTTGATTACAAAAATCAAACCAGGAAAATAAAATAAAATAAATAAAAACAGATTTTTATTTTGTTACCAAAACAAAATCAAAATCTGATTTAAATAATAAAAAATAAATAACCAACTTACTTGATTAATTTCTTGAATAATATTCTAATCAAGTCCAGTGTTCGACACTGTGTTCTTAAGACTGATTCGTCCTCTCCACGGTGCTTTCAGAATACGGACGTCTATCTCTCAGGATAAAATGATCAATCAACGAATAAATGCAGCACTACAATTTATTCGTACAACAAACACACTAAATGTATATACTCTTTCCACAGAAAACTAATGCAACAATATGAAGAGAATAACAGCAGAATTATTTGGGACGAAAATAATAAATCAAACATCAAATGAGGGCTGCCTATTCATAGATGGATTGGTGGTTGCTGGTTTTGAATTAAACAGGTGCAAACCTGTTTGCACAGGTACTCAACCAATTGGGTTTTGAATTGGACAGATAACCGAATATGTTTGAATTTGAAAATTAAACAGATTTGAGATCTGTTCAGGTGGAACAGATTCAGTTTGGATAGAATTTTGTAGAGAGGTGCATTACAAAATTTGAATTTAATTTCAAACCAGAATTTTGAAATAAAAACGGACAGATTTTATTTCAAAATAAATAAAATAAACTCAAATGTTTTTGGCCCAAAAAGATTAGTATTGGGCCGGACAAGCCCAACCCAACCTCACACCATGCACTCGCGCCCAGGCCCAGCCTAGCCCGAACGGCAGTGGCGCGTGTGTGGTGATTTTTGAGTCCAATGAGTCTATCCCATTTTGCCAATAACCTCCCTTTCTACAAAACTTGGGTACCCCTTGAGGCATACCCCAAGTTCCAATCTCATGCCTTATAAACTCACTCAAAACTTCCCACCAAATCAATGTGGGACAAGCCATTTTTCAACCTTTAAGGATTTTCCACCAAAACTCCATTTTCATGGAGCACACTTTGGCTTCATTTTCCTATTCACTCGATAATGGTTTTGAGTAACCAAATATACCACGTGAATCACAACGCGGCATAGAACGCGTTACCACTTTGACCCGCGAAAATCTACGCACAGGTCCCACCTAAATATTAGACCAAAGTTTAATAAAAATTCTGTTTTTACCTAGAATTTTCAACCATTTCTAACAATAATGTCAAGGCAGATGGCAGGAAAGACACCCGAATTTGAGAAATCAATTTATCAAATAAAATAAAATATGAGAATTCCTTTTTTTTTGGGGGGCAAGTAACCCAACCCCCCCTCCCTCCGCCCCTGGATGTGGGATATGTTTCTCACACCTATACCTAATTCATTCACTTCAATCATCTAATTTTATATAATGTTTGAAGAATACAATACTCATATTTGCTAGTAAAGAAATGTTTCTAGCTTGACACATAAATAAGCAATATGAATTCTATATTGTTCCTAAATACTTTTCAATTTAAAGTGCATTTCTAAATAAATTACTATATCCAATCTTAAAAACTACACAATATGCAAACTATTTTAAGATGTGTCCTACTTGCACACAATTTTTAGATGCATATCCCAACATTTTAAGATTTTAGATTTAGAACGCTTGAACATGTACCGGTCACCCAATACTCATATCTTAGATTTAGAACGCTTGAACATGTACCGGTCACCCAATACTCATATCTGAGTCCGTGTAACATAAGACTAAACCTTGTTATCTTCTTTGGAAGTTGAGGAACTTGATGCCATAAGCAAAGACAGAGAAGAAGAGAACAACCCAAGCAATATGGGCCACTGCAACTACTGGTAGGAAGTCATGGTCAAAACCCAAGTGTCTACTGAGGAATAACTTCAATGGCACATTTCCCTCTCCAGGTATCTCCAGCGAAACGCTTTTGTCGCCTACTTGAGAAGTCACAAGTCCATAGATTGTCCAAGATACCGGAGAAGCCCAGTAACACCACCTCCACCAGACCGGGATTTGCTGCAATGATCAAAAGATGTCATTTTATAAACTTATCTGAGTTGCTTATAACTTCTTTTTTAATTACTCTGAGAGTTTGTGTCAGGCTATTTTGGTGCAACTTTTGCTTATAGCTTATTAAGTAGAAACAACTTAAATAAGTTGAAAAAAAGCTAATTATCTAGGAGCTGAGGGAAGGGTGTTTTTGACTTCTGCTTTCTAATAATTAGCTTTAAGCTTGCAAAACAGCATAAGGATTTGACATACTGGTCTAGGAATGAGGAAGCCAGAGAATAAGTTCCAGAAGTTGAGGAAGAAGGACATCACAACGGCAGCAATTTGGAAGCCTGGAGTCAGTGCAACGATCATCATGCCGTATATTGTGAAGTAGATGAAGCACATCAACATGTAGTAGTAGAACCACAAGACTTTTCCCACTTTCCACTCAAACCCGATCATGGAGAAAAGGAGAAGACTGTACACCAATGTTTGAATCGTGACATAGACCATCTCTATGCTCACCTGCCATGATAGATTTTTCTTATTTTGACCATGATTTTGATTAAGGTTATTACTAAATTTTAATAAATAAATAAATAAATAAAATTTGCATTTTATTTCTCTCGAAATACTAGCTTTTTGCATGCTTTTATTGATGTGTTGTGTTACCTGAGCAAATGCGTAAGGCAATGCTGAGTACATCCCGGCTGCTTTTTCACGGTAAAATACTGTTCTCTCAATAGCAACAATAGGCAGCACAGAATTAGCATTACTGCCTGCAAGGAAGAGAACAGCAGCATACATAGCTCCCACAAGATTTTCCAGATCTTGTTGTTTGGTTCTGTTAAGAAAAACAAAAAATCTTAAGTTTAGGACCAGATACAAATACCCAATTTCATCAAATAAAAAAAAAAAAAAAATTGAAATTGAAACACATAAAGTAATGCAAGCCATGAAGTGTTGCATGTTTTCACTTTCTTTTGGAGAAAAAAAAAAAAAAAATTCTATTGAGAATGGCATGCTGGTCTATCTAGACTAGAGTGCAAGGCAAAATTCCAACAATAACCAAAGAGGTTAAATATATTTTTGAAAAAATGAAGAAATTTTATTGACTTACGTCTGCTGTCCTTTGTTCCAGAAAACTGAACCGAATAAAGCCCCAATTACAATTGTCATGAAGAACCGAATGCCATTATATTGGGGGTTCCTCCAGTAAGACCAGTGTTGTTTCCAGAAACAAGCTTTGCACTGAGTAATGAATGGTTGGGAGTACTTGGCTGGGAAGTAGATATCCTTGGATCGTGGTGGAGGAGTACTGAGTTCTTTAATGAGTTCTTGATTTCTCCTGAAGGAGCATAAAGAGGAAAAAATAAATAAATAAATAAAAAAGAAGAAGAATGGTTGTGATAAATATATCAGAGAAAATGCAAGAAAAGAAGACCAAGTATATGTTTAAAATAAAAATGTCATATGCTTACTGATAAAGGGACGAGTTGGCATATATCTCGGCAAAATTCATATTCAGTTCAGTCTCAACTGAAGAAGCACTAATTTCCAACATCCATGTAGCGGGATTGTAACCGTCTCTAATATTGGGAACCCCGGGGATGGACTGTTCCAGGTTATATATATTAATCCATACTAAAATGCCAAGTAATAGAAAATTGCTTGTCCAGACACATTAAGGCTGAATTTGGAAAATAAAAAGAAAAGGCAAGGGAAGTACAGAAAATATTTAGCTCATATTTTATTTACCTTTTCCTTTCCCCTTTTTAAATCCCTACTCAAATCTATGATCCAAACATAGCCTAAATTTCCAAGCTTGGACCTTTTTGCCTTTTGGGAATACAAGCTTAGACTTCAGAAGAGGGGGGGAAGAGGAAAAAATATTCATGGTTGTTTTTAATAATAAAAAGCAAACATGAGAAATAGGAAAAGATTTACTCACCTTAAAATATTCTACAAGCTTGTCAGACTGGCGACCTAGAGGTCCTGCATAAATGACTTGGCCTCCTCTCTTCATCAGAAGTAACTGCAATAAGCACAATAATTGGTTGCTTTTTTATGTGCCACAATTGGACCAAAGGTCTCATATCATAAAAATAAACAAACATCAAGAATATGATTTAGGAACTTTAGTCAAAACCTCATCAAAGGCTTCAAAAATGTCTATACTTGGTTGGTGAATTGTGCACACTACGGTTCTCCCTGTTTCCACTGTATTTCTCACAGTTCGCATAACAATGGCTGCAGCTCTAGCATCAAGGCCAGATGTTGGTTCATCCATGAAGATTATAGACGGGTTGGCAACCAATTCTACAGCTATTGTTAGCCTTTTTCTTTGTTCTGTTGAAAGACCATTAACTCCTGGAAGCCCAACTAAAGAATTCCTTATTGGATTAAGCTCAACCAACTCCATCACTTCTCTAACAAACATCTATGGTATCAAAGAAAAAGAAAACAATCATACATTCAATCATTGAACAATTTTAATTTTAAGATTTTGGAGATTCTAGGGACATTTACCAAGTGCTATACCTTGCGTGCTTTTATGTTCACGTCTGAAGAAAGACGGAGCCAAGCTGAATATAGGAGAGATTCATAAACAGTAACATGTGGTGAGTGAATATCATTCTGTTCACAGTAACCGCTAACCCGGGCAAATGTCGCTTGGTTCTTTGGGTAACCTGAAATACTGATACTTCCTTCAATATACCCACTAGTCTTCCTTCCTGCTAATACGTCCATCAATGTGGTCTTTCCAGCACCACTAACACCCACAAGAGCTGTCAATATACCTGGTCTGAAAGCACCACTTACATCTCGTAGCAGTTGAAGACGATCCTCCCCAATTCCCTGACTTTTCATTTCCTGGTGAAAAAAAAAGAAGTTAAAATTTCAACTCATTCAAGTAGTCAAAATTTAAAAAGTTCATATCATCACATTATATCTGTTTTTGGAGAACACCAAAGTAAAACTTAATATGTGGCATTGGTAAGTTGTTCACTGAAAAAACGTGAAATAAAAGATAGTCTAACCATTTAAAACCAAGTGAAAGAACTTCTATGTTGCAATGCGACAGTAGCTTACCTGGAAGGTGGATCATTCCGGTACATGGGAACGGGAACGTTGTAAACCACGTGCTCTAAAATGTGGTTGGATAGGAGTAGACTTGTATAGATTACACTATAAGAATTTAAGGTACTTCAATAGTAATTATCTTTTAACTATTAGGCATTCAATAAAAATGTAGCAAAATATTTCTATGATCATTATGTCAAAACTTCACTCACCTTCAATTTAATTTTATTATATTTGATTTATTTTTCCTCCTAAGGTAACATTTTAAGAAAAATATATTAGAAAATAACTTTTGACATTGCTTCGGATCACTAAATTTACCATTTTGGAACAAAGTGTACATGTTTCAGAACGTGTGTTTCAAAATGTAATTTGATTTGCTATGGTATTAGCGTTTTCTAGCAACACTAGGAAGGAAATGGTTGCAACCTACCGGAAAAATATCGGTTTTTTTTCACTCACTAGAAATCAGTAAGTCAGGTAATTCACCAGATATCATGTTTCTTATATCAGAATGGAATGGTGTTTCACTACCCTATATATCATGTTTCTCAAATCAGAAAAAGGAAAAAGATAATAGAGAAACAGAAATTTATCAACATAAGCACTAGACAACAAACTACTCAGAATGACTCACAGTGGGCATATCCACATAGTAGTTGATATGATTGAAAGCAAGTGAAAGGGGTTGGAAGGGAAAAAGCATTCCTTTTCTAGGTGCATGATCAGTGACACCAACACTTGAGTCAGTACCCCGTGAAGCATTTCTCACCGTCATATCAAAACCTATAAAATCAATCAGAAGATTTCAAAATTAAGATCAGTAGATCATTTTTTACACAGCAGGGATCGATTAATGTCATGTCATGTGCTCGTTACAACCCAAGAAAAAGAAATAAAAGAGAAAGCTAGCTTTTTTTGATGCTCAAAAGTCTCACAAAAATTTATCTTTACTTCTGTATTAAAAAATTGGTTTTGTTTTTGTGCTAAACAAGATATCCTTCTGAAAAACCTATTCCTATTGCTGTTTTCTAAATTCCTCTTAGGATATCTGGTTTCCCCTCTTCATTGACATCATTACACACACAATGCAATTCAACTTGCCATGAACTTTAAAATGGAAAAGAAAGGTGATAAAGGAGTAACTAGTGACCTATGTGTCTAACTTAATTGGCAGCAAGAGAAATAGAAGACGAGATCATTAAGTAAAGATCAAAAGAGACAAAGGTAAAGGCTCAAACCTTCAGAGGTCATTCGTCCAGATGATTTCTTATTCTTCTTTCCAACATCTTCATCCAAGACTATAGATTTTGAATCACTAAGAGCTGATGTAGAACATCCAGAAACAGGGTTGTTAATCCTGGAAATCTACTTCCAACGAAGGAAATCCATTTTCAAATAAAAATATCTGAACCAAATGACTAGATGAGATAGCTTACGATTCAAAAAAGTCAATGCTGCAATAAATAAAATGTTGAAGAGAAGAGAAAACCCCAAGAGCGCTCCAACACAAACCCAAAACATGTAGTCATCCGTGAAGAATCCTCTAGACTTGAGAAGGACTTTCCCAACTGTAGGTGCATGAATTCGTGGGTCTGGATTGGGCTGCAATAAGAAAAATGTTCAGAATTTTGAGAATGTAAAGATACTACGCAAACAGCAAAAGAGAACTTACGGCGCTCCATCTTTTGTCAAGAAATTCATTAATGACTAAAGCATTTTGTCCATACATCACTGGAGAAATATAATAGCCCCATATCATAAATGGCTCAATGTCATCTGCAGGCACAAAAGGAAATGAATGGTTGTAGATGCAGTGTTTTGATCATCGAATATATAAACAATCACATGAAAGAATCCACAACTTACTTGGCTAAATGTCAAGCAATATTCAACAATGTGGTACAAAGATTGGTAAATTAAAAGCTCATTCTAATTCAAGATAGGCTCAAAAGTGAAAATAGAAATCAGGCAGCTTACTTTGGGCAACTATAAATCCACCAAGCAGAATATTCATTATCAATGTGCAGGTTCCTAAAGTGCATACAACAACCAGCTTTCTTCCCACTGCAGCAACAAAGCGAAAGAGAGAGAGAGACATTTGATGTATACTGAACAATGCCAATAACTGCTGGAAAAACCTGAATCAGATGGTGGGTATTTGTCAGTGAATAAATTATCAGGTTCAAGTGACCACTAAATGCAGAGTGGGAAGAATAAATTTCTAATGAAGAATTTAAGTTGGTAAGCAAAAGTATAAACACGAAAATCTATCACGAGAAACCAAGAACACGCAGACCACTACTACCTGCTGGTGTCTGGAGCAAACCCAATTGTGTAATATGTAAGACTGATCCATATCGCTGATTCCACTAAGGAGAGGGGTATACTGAGGACCCAAATTGGCAACCCAAAAGCCCATGGAGGATAGAATAAGAAATCCCTCTGTTTATAGAATACAGGAAGCCTCAAAACAGTCAATGCAACCTCTGTCAGCCCGTTAAACAATACATTCATGAGAGTGAAGAAAAGAGCTCCGAAAAATTTTCCTCCATCTTGCAAGGAGCCAGATGGCATTGTTGTCCTCAAGAACACATTCAAGGCTATCGATGCAATGATTATTATCTCTACAGTCTTGAATATGTATACAAAACTGTTGCGCTTCATTAGCAGCCACTCTCTGTCGAAGCACGCCTTAAACAGTTCCCATTTGGAGATTCCATACTTGTTTCTCACCAGTGCAGCCGGGTGAGTTCTTGATTTATCGTAAGGAACATTAAGATCTGCTTCTAGCTTTTGGCCAATATGGAATGATTTGAAGGACTCTGCAAATTCAGGAACTGACATATAAGTGTATGGTTGGTTTTTATTTAACCAATATTGTTCTTGATCCTTCTTAGAAGTTACTTCTTGGAGAAAATCTGCTATTCCTTTCCTTTCTGGGCACTTGAAACCCATGTACTCAAAGAACTCAAGGATGTCCTCGCGTGGACCATGATAGACAATTTGCCCTTCTGAAAGTAAGATAATGTCATCGAATAGATCATAGGTCTCGGGGTCTGGCTGCAGAACAGAGATGATCATGGTCATCTCCATTATATGTGCCATTTGTCTCATGAACTTGACAATCTGAAAAGTGGTAGAACTGTCCAACCCGGTTGATATCTCATCCATAAAAAGAGCTTTTGCTGGTCCAACCAACATCTCTCCTGCACCCAATTAAACCATAAAAAGATATTGGACTGATAAATTAGTATAAAATCACAGTAACAAGCAAAAGAAAAGATTATTCCAATTTTCTTTTTCTTCTTTTTTGGATGAAGCTAGGCAGCATGTAGCAAAATTGGAGTCGTCAATAGATTTTTTTTTCTTTCTACATGATACAAAAAAGTTAATCATGCAATTAAAAACTACTAGGCGTTTAACAACTAAATGGACCATCAATTTATTTGTCAGTTATGGGTATGTTATAAGTGCGCATTTGAGAGGAGATCTTGATCTAGACTCTCAATCTATCATCTCCAAATTGCAAAAAACAGGAGAGAGAGTTCTAGTGAGATTCACACATATACCTTGAAGAGTTGAGAGCTATGAAGCACGGACACGGACACGGATACGGACACCGACACGGGACACAGTAATTTTCAAAAAATTGAGACACAGACACTGCAGGGGACACGGTAAATTTTTTTTATATATTTTTATGTGTTATCGTATTACATTCATCCTAAATCAAATTAACAACCACTAACATAGAAACATTAATTCAATAAATATAACTACTACATTTAAACAAATTAATAGATCATCCATTCGCAAAAAAGTCATAATAAATGATAACAAGAATTAAGACGAGAAGGGGAAAACATTCAACATTCAACATCCAACATCCAACAGTATTCTTCACAAAAGCACTAAATAAGAGAGGCAAAAGAAGGAAAAAAAAGTGAACCCCGTTGTGTCCCAATATGGACAAGCGTGTCCCTGCTGTGTCCCATGTCGTGTCCCAATATGGACATGTGTGTCCCCGCCGTATCCCCTACAAAAAAATCATTGGCGAGTCCTGTACATGTCCCCGGCGTACCGATTTTGGAGTGTCCATGCTTCATAGATTGAGAGTGATCTAGTGATCAAAGCTACATGTATTGAACAACATCAAGGGTTTCTACATCAATTACACTTTTTGAGAAATGTGTTCTTCGGTGGATTCGGAGAACTTGAGCTTGGAAGCATCAATGGATTCCGAAGTGGCTCACTGTTGTGTATTCGACATTGGCATTGTGGATTTGGCCGTTGAGAAGCAATTTCATGGTGGAGATGGCGTTTTGAAGAGGCTTAGAGGATTTGAGACAATTGGGCATGGATTTGCTAGGTGATCGTATGAATTCCTTGTGTAATTCTTATTCTTCTTAGTGGATTTGACTCCAATTGTTGTTTTTTCAACATTAAATCTGTCTTGTCCTTAATTGCTTAGATCTAATTTGGTTTGCATTGAATTAGATTAGATCATATTGTGATTGTGTTAATTGTTCAATTGGTTGAGAGATCGGTGGAATTGAATCCTTAAAAAAAATCAACGTATCTCAAAATTAGGGGTATAACCACCAAAAAGCAAAAGGCAACATTTTATTGAAGTTTTGTTGTTAAAGATCTTTTAAATTAAGTGATAAAAACAATGACATCAAATGACAAGAAAGACAATGAAAAAGGATTAAGAACAATTGCAAAAAGTTCCAAGACATTGCCACTGGGGACAGCATTAGAAGAAGTGTTACCAATATACATGAATGGAAAAAGTCCGAATTAATTAAAACCATAAATCAATAAATATTGACCTGGAATGGGAGAATACTTGGTAGAAAAAAGTAAGTAGTGAACTAGACAATCATAAACTAACAAGAACAATAAATATTTCTTTTTTAAGTCTTGAAAAAGCATACCAGTGGTCAAACGCTTCTTTTGTCCACCAGAAATACCCCTTCTCATGTCATCACCAACCATAATATCCATGCAATTATCCAATCCGAGTATCTGTTACAAGTTTGTTAGTAAAGAGAAAGAAAGTCCTGACATAGCAGGAAAATAAATGTAACGGCATGAAATTTAAGCAGTGAACCTTGATAACATAATCTGTAAGCAAACTGGTTTCTTGGCCAGACACTGCTGTGGCCTTCATAAATAAATCAATCTCAGGATCTGGTTCAATTCCCGCTTCTTTTTCTTGTTTTGAGAGCTCAACTAGCATTTCATATCTTTTCCCGACCCCCAAACAGCGTGCTGAGAAATCCAATGTCTCCCTCACTGTCATCTCTCCATGGTGAAGATCATGTTGACTGACATAAGCACAGGTCCTTTGAGGAACAAATTCATTCAACTCATGACCACAATAGGTAATTTTTCCAGATACCTATTCAAAACTAAGAGTTACCAATATGCATAAATAAATATATAAACAATCATTATAAAGCCTAACAGACTAATTAATTAAAAAAATTATTGATAATGGTTAAGAAATGACACCCTTAGATCCTGATCAAGCTTCCCTGCAAGTGCCAGCAACAATGTTGTTTTCCCAGCGCCTGGTGGACCCAAAAGCAGTGTCATCCTGAAAGAAAAACATGAAATCAGTAACCAGAAACATGAATGCAATGATAGAACATAAATGAACTCAATCTACTTCAACAAAACAACTAATTGGATTAATCAATAGAACACAAGAAAACAATGCAAAAACTGAATTTCGCTAAGCAATTTTCACCTTATACCATGCAAAATAACAAAATTCAAATTATTTTCCATGTTGCCAATAGTCGATCAACCAAACTCTTTTTTCTTTTTCTTTTTTTAATGAAAATTTTGCTTGGGCAATAATAATATGGGCAATGATACATACCACTAAAAGTGGTGCTCTAAACCACCACTAGTGAGTTGGCACACACATAAATTAATTAAAAAAAAAAGCACAGCAACACTGTGGCAGTGGGTGGGGCCCACTGCCACATTAGTGCTCCCACTAATTAGTGGTTTCAACCATTTTTCTAATAATATTAACAAGAAAATCTTTTACCTTGATGGTTTGATGATGCCGCTAACATCTTTAAGTATCTGGATTTTTCTCTTCTTAGAAGGGGCAAGCCAAATTAGTCCAAGAACACTCTGTTGTTAATAACATAAGAACAGTATTAATAGTAAGCAAAAAAGCACAGACCATATGGAAATATAACATGTTATTTGTATAGTCAAATTGCATCTTCATGGACCATTTACCACATGAAAAAATATAAAAAAGGAAATAGATACTTCTACAATAATTTGTTTCACATCAAAAGCAGAAATATGATAGTGATAATAACTTATTTACTGATTCATTTTTAGTGACTTTAATTCTATCCATTCACAAATATCTAAGAAGAAAAAAAATAATAGCAAAAAAGAAGCCCATCATTACATGAGCTTTGACAAATTATTTAATGCTCTTAAGATAAGGCTTAATAGAGCCATATATGTGGTCACTGCATGAATATCATGCAAATGCATAGCTCACGGCACTTTGGTCCTACGCCAACGTGCGACTCGGTTGGGCGCGTTACCTAGAGCATGCAATGATTTTTCCAAACCACAAGAAAGGATTTCTAAGTGTCCTTTCTGATGATGTTGACAAAATAAGTATATCCTTATATTTGCACAAAGTTTGTCAACAACCCTTGAAGCAACTGTTCAAAAGAACAAAATTTATATAGAACATAACATATTAGTCCTACTTTTCGCATGAAAAAGGTGTTGCTAGACACTATTTTTATAACAAAATTTTTTGAATAAATTACACTGAGCTCTCTAAAGTTTGATAAAAACAGTTAGGAATGGCAATGGGACGGCGCAGGAAAAATCGGGGAGATGGCAAGAAAGTTTTGGGGTAATTTGTTACTTTTACGAGGAGATGGTACTAATAGAAAGAAACGATATAATATATAAGAAAACAGATTTTGATGAGTAATATTTAAAATGTAAGATAAAGAGGTAAAAAAATGATATATATATATATATGAATGTTTTGGTGTTACGTTTATTATATTTAATAAATTAAATTATATGTAAATTTATATTTAAGAGTTAATTACACTAAGATCTCTAAACTATTAACGAATATCACTCCACCTCTATACATGAACCGTACGTATTGAACCCTCAACTGTAAAAATCACACAAATATACCCTTTGAAGGTGGTTTAGTGTGTGTATGGAAGGAGTGAAAGTGATACATCTATACTATTATATTAAGTAAAGGCTGGCCTTGGTATCGAAGTCTTCTCCTTATGCCACGTGTCCCTTACTTTTCTGTAGAAAATAAAAAAAATTAAATATTGAGGTGGTGAAAGGGACTCAAACCTAAGACTATATGGGTTGGTAAACAACACTTTTACTACTTGAGCAATAGACACTATATGTTTTTAATTTAAAATCACGATTTATATTTTACAAATTTAACAGCACACCTAGCTGAAAGGGTCAAAAAGTATGAATTTATAAATAAGAAGTAGATTAATATTCGTTAATAGTTTTATTTTAGAGTCTAGTTGTAATTATAAAAGTTGTTTATTTAATATAATGCACGGAAAAAAATGGTGTGAAGGAAGCAAATACCGCCCCCTCTTCATTTTTTTATTAGGGTGGGAGAAATTGGGTGGGTATGCAAGCAGTGGCGGACGCAAAAATTTTATAGTAAGAGGGGGCCAAACTGTATACACTTAGAATTGACACCAAAGTTTTAATTATTTCAATTGACATCAAAGTTTTAATTATTTCATTTGTAGAAAGTATAGTTTCTAAATTATACTAAAAGGATATATTTTTAAAAAAATTCTCAATCAATATTGAGATGGAGTATGGGTTTATTGAGATGGAGTACATGCCTTGTGGAAATGGAAACTCTCTTTGATGTGCTGCACTGCACTGCACAACAAGAGCAAGCGACACAAGACGGAACCAAAGATTGGAAATTTTGGAGCACCTAAGTTCGTTTTTTATTCAAACAAAAAATTGGAAATTTTGGGGCTGTAGTGGCCAAAAATGGTGGGCTTTCAAAATTGAAAAGGTCTCAATCAAAATAAATAAATAAATTGGAAAAGGACATGTAGCAATCCCATTTTTGCCACTTCGCTGAGTATGTTGGGGCTCTAGCTGCCCAGTCAGCTCGCGGGGGTCTAGGGGGCAGCGTCTCTTGGCGGGTCCTAGGGCAGCGTCCTGGTGGGGCTGAGGGGCAACACCCCCAAAACAAAAATGCAAAACGCATTCGAAGTTGCTTGTCCGCTCGGTCGGTCTGGAGTGTCGGGAGTTGAACCGAGAGAATTCCGGGCTAAGGACCAGGACCGCATGTGCGAGGCCTTGGGCCGCACGTGCGGGAGAGTAGCTACACGTGCAGGGAATGAAGCCGCACGTGCGGAAAATAGGGCAGGGGGCTGAAGCACACTGCTAAAAAGGAAAGTGTGGCTGGAGGTGCGGGGGAAGAAGCGCTGCACGTGCGGGGGTGTTGGGCCGCACGTGCGGGAGAACGCGCCGCACTTGCGGGAGGACGCTCCACACATGCGGGAAGGTAGGTAGATCCGGAATTTTTCCTTTTCTTCTCTCTTTGGTCTGATTAAATGTCACTTTTTGTATATCTCTCTCTCTCTCTAAACACATTTCCTCTCCATTCTCTCTATATTTCCTACCAAAAACCTTACAAGATCTTTGATTTCTTCAAATCCATTGGGATTTAGATCCATGTTCTTCATCAAAGTTGGTTATCTAGGCGAGGGCTACGTTGTGTGCGGTGAAGTTCGAGTTTAGGCATCGTTGATTTTAGAGTTTCAACTCTATTCTTCTTCAAATTTGAGGTAGGGATTTCCTTTGAGTTATATATATGTTTTTGCAAGATCTAGATGATTTTCGAAATTGTCCTTTGATTAGTTTTGAAAATTGATTGTTGATTCAAGAAAAAAAGTAATTTTGGAAGTAGGTTTACTTTCTTTTCCTTTTAAAATGGAAATTGAAATTTGAATTATATTGATTGAAGAAAGATGATTTTGGTGAGATCTTTCTAAATATTTTGGAGATGAATGGTTTTGGTGAGAAAACCTAGAAATAGGGGTTCTTTTTGAAAGATGTTGTCATATTTGTTTTGTGGGTGAAAATAAATGGATGTTTTGAAAATTGTTTATTTATGTATATAAATGATGAAGTTTGTGAAATATGAAAATTGTTGTTCATTTTGGAAATTGTTATTTAAAATGTTGAGTTAGTCTTGAAGTGGCTAATTTATAGAGAATGCTCTAAATGTGGAAATTATGTGATTCTTTGGATGAATTGGAATAAATGTATACCTATTCATCTTGTGAAATGGCATGGAAAAGATAAATGAGAATTTTGATCACAATAGTAGTATTGTGTGGAAGAATTGAAAATGGAGGAATTGGTGCATTGCATTGATTATTAGTGCATTGGCATATCAATTCATTTGATTGCATTAAACTTTGAATGTTGATTTAAAAACCTTGCATTGAGAAAAGAATGTTGGGAAACGGGTTTTCGTAAGTCTTGATAGGTGGTGTAGATGAAATCGATTAAGTTGGCTTGAGTGTCCTTGGTGAAAGACCAGAAAGTCGCACGGATAGGTGTCGAGCCTTCGGTTAATACCGATAAAATAACAATTGGTAGTACTTGTATAATCTACTTGCAGACACCGACCTAGGAATTACCAGAGTTGTATTTACCGCCACTTGAATTAAATTGATAAATTTTGAACAGTTGAAGTTGCATAACATCATTGAGTATGATGGTTTTCAAAAGATGAAGATGAATTTTATTTTCAAAAAGGCATGGCATGGCATGTGCATTCATCTTTTAAGACTTGTATAAAATGTATATACTTTGTTAAGGATTTTCTACTGGGCTTTATGCTCACCCTACGGGATTATTGTGCAGGAAAAGACGTAGTGATTCTACCCAACTGAGGGTATGGACATGTGTGTGTTGGGAGTACAATGCTCTCACTTTGCGTGACTCTGTTTTGTAAGCCAAGGGCTATATTTGTATGGTTTGAATAACCGATTTGTGTAATCGGGCCTGAGCCTTGGAAACTTGTAAACCCATGAGGGTATTTATTTGTTTATGTCATCTTGATTTGAGGTGAATGTATTATCGCATGGGGATTATTTGTATCATGTATTGCAAGCGTGAAGATTTACTTTCAGTTTTACTTTAAAGAACCATGATTATTGTATTATCATTTGGGTATGAAAATTGGGGTGTTACAGGACAAATCACATCAGTTCTTAGATTATTGTGTAATTTTTATTCTTGTAATTTTAAGAAAAAATTGGTGAAAAGTCTATGTAAAGAGTTAGGTGTTGTGCCAAAAAGCACAACACACGTGTTGTGAGGCTTGTCTGGGTGAGTCTCAAGTCTATTTTCATGATCTGAACCGTTCATATTATAAGGTTTGTCGATTAGATCATATAAATAAAAAAAAATAGATCAATTAGATATCTATACCCTTATAACAAAATCACATTTATTTTAAACAAAAATAAACAGTTGATATAATTTTGATAATTTTTTAAAAAATAATTAGGACTGATCATGAGTTACGTATGTTTGATTAACTTGAATATTTTTTTTATTTTTTATTTTTTATAAATAATATACTCGACAAACTTTATAATATAAACTATTTAAATTATTGAAAAAGACCTGAGATACACCTCCACAAGGCTTCAGAGCATGGGTTACCACAAGACACAACACCCACCCCAACTCTAAGCAAAATCTTATTTGGTGATAAGGACACGCTAGAAAAGGTCATTAGAAAAATCGATGGCCCTGAAAAATTCGTCAAAAAATTGGCCAGAAAAGTTGCCGGCAATGGTGATCAGCGGCTAGCGGCAATAGGTTGTGGTGGGGAGATAGAGAAATGTGTGCTATTCAACAGATAGATTATTGAATGAGTGACATGCATCTCATTTGAACAGATAGTTAGCTTGGTGAATTTCAACAGGTAGACAGATAGGTTGATTTCAACAAATAGTTATCCTTTTAGACAAATTGTGTCATTTTGGTCCAAAAGATTCATAAATGAACTTATGATGCTCTAATTTTAATTGGTTTGATATTTATTATAAATTTATGATTTTATATCAATTTGATCTAATAGATTACTTTTGTTAGCATTTTATATATATATATAATTTGTTCACATGAATAGCATATGCCATGATTTGAAGAACAAAATTATAAAATTACTCAATTCAGTGATTAAACTTTCTTAATTCAGCGACTATTTTTTGTCTAAAACCCTAACCAAAAGTATAAATGGAATTAAATTGATATAAAATTCAAAATTAATGATTAATATTAAACTAATTAAAAATATGGGACCAAAATCCAGAGAGATAAAATGCATGCACTGCTGGTGTAATTTCTCCTTTTCCTTTTGAACACAAGCTTGGCTCTTACGCATGGTGACCAATGTGGTCGCTTTATGTCCTAAATTTTAACAAAATTTAAGAACCCTCAACTAATTTTAGGTTAATCTAACTTAAATTTAATTAGTAACTTGTATTAACAATATGAAAAAAGTAATATTTAATTGCTACATTGTTGTAATTGATTTAATTTTATTTTGTATTATACTTAGATCTTATTAAAATAAATAAAATAAAATAGACTTGTTGTAAATGAATTTTGTTAAATTATAAAATAGTAACATCATATTTTTGAGTTTTAATAATGATTTCTTCCTATTTTAATTTATATAAGTAAATTTTAGTATTTTAGTTTAGTGATTTTTTTTTTTCAACAGATAAGAGAGTATTTATAAATAAACGAAATATTTACATTATCAAACAAGCTATTAATCTACAATAGTTAGAAAGTCAACAGAGCATAACAATCAATAAACCAATTATTCCAAGCCTAACACTTGAACCCGAAATGTCACACCACAAAGTGTGTAACACAATCATTAGGTCAAATACCATGATTAATTTAGTGATTATTATATATTCAAATATAATTTGTGTGGATATTAGCAAATAGAAAAATTATGTGTAAGGTTTTAATGGTTGGCCCACAATTTTTGTTTTCGTTTTTGTAATTATATATAAAGGATATTATTTTTAAAATTTGCCTAAGACTCCAACCAATACAAAATGATATGAATTGAAATTTTTTGAGATGTACAAATAAAAATCCCACCACACAATTCTATGCCCGACACTCTTACTACCACATACAACTGCCACCACTACCCTACTACGACGGCCATAACACCATCTTATCACCACCACCATCCTACTACACCACTTACTACTATCACCACTACAACTCCAACCTCTACTAGCATCCTAATATTGTCGCCCCAAAACACCACCACCACACCAGACTACACTACAACTACCATTGATGTCGCAACCACCACTGTCACCACCACTACTCATGTCACCATTTCCACAAATATCAACACCATTATAATTTACAAATATTTAGATTAGTCGTTACTAATTTGATTTTAAAATTAAAAAAAGGACACAATTTATTCTATTAATTTAATAAATATAACCAAACATGATAATAAAAATTATCATTTTACTTTTCTCATTCCATTTTAGTAATTAAATACTGAAATGAGAATAGACAATCATTTCGTTCAACCTTATATTACATTATACTATCATTTAAATTCTCTAACAAAATAGAAGAATTAGTTATTTTCCTAAAATTAAATTCATACAAACATTAATATAAAAATAAAAACCAACCTCAATAGTGTTGCAGGTAGAATTAAAGAGAGTAGGAAGTGCTCTACTCCCAACATACACATCTCCCTCTATTGACAAATGTTCGTACCGGACTTCAATCTTTGGAATCTCCATTCCCACCCTGTAATGTCATCCAACAAACTCACCAGCTTTAACCAGAACTTTATATCAAAATTTATACAAATCATTTTCATCTATCTATACTATTATGTGAAGCCTTGAGATGATGTCAACATAAAATGTCTCATTATTTTTATACTTTAATTTAAAAAAAATAAAAATTGCACATGCATAAAGAGTATATATACACTCTATAGAGAGAGTTAAAGAGGGAGAGATGACCTCTGAGTCCTGTCCTTGAGTCTCTGAAGAAACTTGTCATGATCATCTTCAACAATATTTAGAATGCTCTCCATTGACTGCTTCTTATCTTGAATTCCGACCTTCATGACATCTTCGCTTAGCACCGCCTTCCTCACCCGCTCGTAAGTTGGGACCTTCTCCATCACTGCCCACTAGAGCTCCTCCTCCTCCTACTTATTTCTCCCGCCCTGGCTGAACACATCCTGCACCGCCTCTTTAAAACTCGTAGACCTCCAACTCCTCCGGCTACTCGTCTATCGTCACCATTACGATCAATCAATCCTTCAAATACAAATGACTTGTATCAACTATTGTTTGTTGGTGAATATTACAGAAAATCACTAAAATAAAATATGACTTGTGAGAGGGTAATTTATGTAGTTAAATTGAGCCGAGCTAAGTAGAAGAGATTGTAACTTGGGCCGAGCTAAACTCAAGAACTAATGTCGTGTTGGGCTTAACAAAAGGTAGACTGGTCAAAGATAGTTGACCAGACTAATAAAAGCCCAGCCGCTTCTTAATGGCGGTCAAAGCATTGACCAAGTGTAATAACCCCGACCTCTGATTAATGTTAATTCGCACTTATTTATGCCTAACAGTAATTTAGAAGGAACCTGGGATTAATTTGCATATGTATTGCATTAATTCTGTGTTTATATCTGTTTACTATAAAGTGATCTGCTTATGTGTTGACTTTGAATTGCGAATTGAAAACCTTATCGGCGACTAATTCAGAAATTGATTAGTGTGTTATACTAGTTAGATTTTATGTGATTTTATGGTAGGCTTAATTAAAATTCGATTTGGAATGTGTAAATTAGATTAAATAATGTTGAATTGCACTAGTTTGCCTAATTACACAAATGCCACTTAGTGGCTTGATTTGAGACCAACTTTATCACACCTTATTACACTTAGAAGCATCTCTCCTCAGCCATTTTCTTGACCAAACCGTAGGAGAGAGAGAGAGAGAGAGAGAGAGTAGGAGAACAAGATTGAGTTCATCTAGGATTTTGCTTGAACTTAGAAGAATTGAAGGCAACTTGGAAGATTAGGCTACTAAGCTTGAAATTGAAGACCTAAAGGTAGAGAATTCATCCTTTTAATCATGAATGTGAGTTGTTCTTGCTAGGTTCATGGTGAAATTGGTATTTAAAGTCAAGTTTTAGCTCAAAGTGTGGTTTTGAGAGTCTATCCATGCATGAATGCATAAATTTCCATGCGTTGAGTTTGAATTCTAAGATTTTTTCCATGCATGTGTTACTTTCACTCACATTATGGTCATTCATCTAGTTGTCCATCAAATTATCAAGTTTGATCATGTTTTGGAGGGTTTGGATTCAATGAGGTTCTTGCATGTTGTATTAATGGCATGTTCATAGAGTTCATGTTGATTTTGCACAAATTAGGTTGCTCTTGGGCCATGATTTCTTGAAATAATTTTTAATACATGTTGTTTTATGAGTTATTATATGTTTCCTCAAATATTGGCCTAGAAAAATGAGTTTTGAAGGCTTAAAGGTTGAGTTTCATGCTTGGAGGTCAATCTGAATTTTCCAGAAATTTGACCCACGCTCGAGCGTGAATCCTGAGTACATGCACTTCCACTCGAGCGTTGATAGTTACCCTCGAGTGTGAAATGCGGATACCAAGAAGTTTGTGTGATTTGCAGTCCGCTCGAGCAGGGGAAACCACGCTCGAGCTGGGGTCGAGCGCCCGTCGAGCGTGAAAATCATGCATCTAGTACTTTTGTCGATTTTACAATCCGCTCGAGCGAGGAAGTTCACACTTGAGCAGAGCTTCAATACCTGCATGTCCGCTTGAGCGGGGTAATCCACGCTCGAGCGTGGACCTTATCTTCAGCAAAATTTGTTTATGTGTTGACTTTGAACTGCGAATTGAAAGCCTTATCGGCGACTGATTTAGAAATTGATTAGTGTGTTATACTAGTTAGATTTTATGTGATTTTATGGTAGTCTTAATTAAAATTCAATTTGGAATGGGTAAATTAGATTAAATAATGTTGAATTGCATTAGTTTGCCTAATTACACAAATGCCACTTAGTGGCTTGATTTGAGACCAACTTTATCACACCTTATTACACTTAGAAGCATCTCTCCTCAGCCATTTTCTTGACCAAACCGTAGGAGAGAGAGAGAGTAGGAGAACAAGATTGAGTTCATCTAGGATTTTGCTTGAACTTAGAAGAATTGAAGGCAACTTGGACGATTAGGCTACTAAGCTTGAAATTGAAGACCTAAAGGTAGAGAATTCATCCTTTTAATTATGAATGTGAGTTGTTCTTGCTAGGTTCTTGGTGAAATTGGTATTTAAAGTCAAGATTTAGCTCAAAGTGTGGTTTTGAGAGTCCATCCATGCATGCATGCATAAATTTCCATGCTTTGAGTTTGAATTCTAAGATTTCTTCCATGCATGTGTTAATTTCACTCACATTATGGTCATTCATCTTGTTGTCCATCAAATTATTAAGTTTGATCATGTTTTGGAGGGTTTGGATTCAATGAGGTTCTTGCATGTTGTATTAATGGCATGTTCATAGAGTTCATGTTGATTTTGCACAAATTGGGTTGCTCTTGGCCTATGATTTCTTGAAATGATTTTTAATACATGTTGTTTTATGAGTTATTATATGTTTCCTCAAATATTGGCCTAGAAAAATGAGTTTTGAAGGCTTAAAGGTTAAGTTTCATGCTTGGAGGTCAATTTGGATTTTCCAGAAATTTGACCCACGCTCGAGCGTGAATCCTGAGTACATGCACTTCCGCTCGAGCGTCGAGAGTTACGCTCAAGCGTGAAATGCGTATACCCAGAAGTTTGTGTGTTTTGCAGTTCGCTTGAGCGGGGGAATCCACGCTGGAGCGAAACTCTGAGTCTCATGCTCGAGCGGGATCGAGTGCCCGTCGAGCGTGAAAATCATGCATCCAGTACTTTTGTCGATTTTACAATCCGCTCGAGTAAGGAAGTTCACACTCGAGCGGAGCTTCAATATCTACATGTCCGCTCGAGCGGAGTAATCCATGCTCGAGCGTGGACCTTATCTTCAGCAAAATTTAGGAAATGGTTTTCAAGGCATTTTTGCATCCTCATTCCATCCTAGGCATTCCTAGGCCATGTTTAAGACCCTTTAATGAGGATTAAAGGTTAGAAACACACTAAGAGCCAACGACGTAAATTTTGTACAATTAGAACGTGTGTTTCAAGTGTGTATCTGTTATGTATTATGTAGGTCACGTGCCGGGTTCTGTCTGACTAATCTACTCCGTCTGTTTGTCTCAAGGCCAATTATGAGTAATAACTTAGTAAAGTTACGTTCAACTGTATCTATTTTCTGTGTGATAAAATAAGATCTGTTTTCCGAAACGATATGTTCTGTACAATGAATGATTATTCAATTTCTGATATATATTCGTGACATCCTTAGCATCATGTGATATCTATTGGCTGTTACCCGGTATCGGAGGTTCCTTTATGGAACTTACATCCGTCTGCATTTTGTTACCCGTACCAGAGGCCCCGTCATGGGGGCTCAGCTTCTGTTTTGTTACCCGGATCCGAAGGTTCCTTTAAAGAACTGGTTACTTGTAACTCTCATGTGTCTGCCTCTGTTCTGTATCTGCTTTGTTATTGCTAATGGATGTATTATGTAAACTCAAGCATGACTTGTTATTTCTGTATATGATCTGGACCAATTATGGATTTGATACGAAACTGAATTATGATTTCTGAATCTGTACGAACTCATTCATTGAAACCCTTTTACTCTGTTATTATTCACTGGGTTTTCGCTCACAGTTTATATTATGTATGTAGGTGAGCCGGCGTGTGACCAGGGCTAGAGTTGACGGCCTTCTGTTCTGTTTTTGTCAGCCAACCATTGTGCCTCCCGAGGAGGTTCCGATTGAAGTCTAATGCCATGGCTGTTTTTGTATTCATGCTAGTCTATGTGACTGTTTTGTAAAGTCAGGTCTTAGGATGTACACTTCTGTAAATACTTTGTAAATATTGGCGTCCTTTGACTGGCATGCTCATGTATATATATATATAAGTTTTGAAATCTACTGTCTCATGTACGTTACGACAGCTCATTGGAACTTGTCTATTTTATATATTTGCTTCCGCAGCCCCTTATTATTTGCTAATCTGTCAAGAGGCCTTTGGTAATCCAATGATTATTGGCCGGTTACGATGCTAGACCTACAGGGGCGGGTTTGGGTCGTGACACCAAGCTATAGCGGAAGACTGTCAAACGAAACTATGAATGACGTTCCGACCAACCTACGTGTGGCGCCGCGCTACATTAACACAGTGGCATGCCATGTAAGCCTAGGACGGTTATGCGTGCTGCTCGGTATTATTAGTGGCAAATAGAGTAAAATTAGCTTGGTCAATTGTGTTGACCGAGCACGGAGTTGAACCATCTCACTTGGTTTGCAGTGAGGAGGGTGTCAGGATAAGTATTATCTTTAGGAATGAGATTTCTAGGAGGACTCTGCTAAGAAGAGTTAGAGTTCTACTAGGATTGTGCCATGTGGAGTCTACAAAAGCTCAAACCAAACCCTCATTCAGGTATGACAATTCATACTCCTGAATTCACAGAGATTTTGTATCCTCAGTCTACTTGTTGACTTAGGTATTAGAGGTTTCTGGCACACACCCGTTGGCTAGCTCATATTTGTGATTTTGGGTATTACGACGACATTTGGAGGAGCGCAAGCTTAATCAATAGGATTATACGAGTAAAGATTATTTCGTACTCGCACAACTTGTATCAAGTATATTGTTTATTGGTGAATATTACAGAAAATCACTAGAATAAAATGTAGGGAGATTTACGTGTAGGTCCTAATAGGTGGACTTTTTATCCAATAGATCCTATGAGAATTAATAGCGTTTTTTGTCAAACATTATTAAAAAAACGTTACTAATTGTTAATTTTCAGTGATAATTTGAAATTTTTGTGACAAAAAATATTACTAATTATAAGTTTTAGACAGTTTAAAAAAATTATCACAAAAAGGTCACTAATTTTTAACTTTCAGCGAGAGTTTAAAAAATTCATCACAGAAAAAGTCATTATTTATAAATTTTAGGAACAATTTATAAAAATCATGACAAAAAAAATCACCAATTGTCAATTTTTAGCGACATATGTAAAAAATCATTATAAAAAATTATTATTAGTGGTAACTTTACTATAACTTATTTTCAATTGATTTTGATGAGAATTAAATCCAACTATTAGAACTTGATAATTTACCCT